ATTGCAAAAAAACAATGCAACGTTCCAGTAATCACATTTTCTTTCTTCTTTTTTGGGCCACCATTTAAACTCTTTCCTTCTCTCTAATTTTATCTTTCTCGTTCTTCAATATTACAATGATTTATGATCTCGGTGTATTGATGAACATGTTTTATATATATATATATGTGTATATATATGTATATATATACATATAAAAAAAAAGGGAAAAAAATCTTTATATATATATATATAAAATAATAATCAAACAGGCTGCATGTTTCGTCTCCGCAAAGTGAATCGTCTCGTGACCGGTTGGTGTTGGTCGTAAATAAGGCACGTTGCGGTTCAGACAGGACGGATCTCACTTTTGTGTTTGACAGTTGTCTAAAATTTTTAATTATTAAGATTATTAAAATTTTTCTCCTTTTCTTATGCCATGTAAAGAGAAAAAAGAAAATTGATGATGAAGATAAGATAATAATACAATAGAACGAAAACGAAAAAATAATAATAAAAATAAAAATACCTTCTTTGATGATCGAAGATCATTGACTGAGTCTTTCTTGATCGATCGTACGAACAAACGAACGAATGAATGAATGAATGAATGAATGAATGAATGAACGATCAATCGAACCATCGATCGATCCTCATCCTGGTGTTTCAATGTCCCTTTTTTGTCCCTTTTAAAAAGCTCCAAGGAATAATGGCGTTTAGTATATCACCATAGCCGTATGTCTCCTTGTTTGTCTGCTTTATGTAATCTGTAAAACCAATTTAAATCGTAACATTAAGCAATGCATAGGAATAATTAACAATACGTACGACTATCGTCATCACGCTCATGCGAAAAAAAAAAAAAGGGATATGCGAAAGACAACAACGGACGTGTTTAATTCTAAGGTTTTATCTTTTATCTCTCTTTCTATCTCTGTCTCTTTCTCTCTTTCCTATTAACAAGAGTTTTTGACAAAAGTAGAGAAAACATACGTACATATGCATTTATATATACTCACGTATCTAACTTCTGTATGACAACGTAATAAAAAAAAAAAAAAAAAAAAGAAAGAGAAAATATTAAAAATAAAAATACTTTGAGAAAAAGAAATAAAATAGAGAGAGAGAGAGAGAGAGAGAGAGAGAGAAAGAGAGAGATTACAAAGTTCTCGAGAGATGCGACAGGGCTAGTTCTATTTTATTTCTCTTTCTTTCTTTTATTTTTTTTTTCTCTTTCTCTTTTTTGTTTGTTTGTTTTGTTTTCGCAGTTTGCCTCGTCGCATATCTAATTATTTCTAATTACTCAAATAGAACGCAGCAGCAGCAACAGCAGCAGCAGCAGCAGCAGCGTAATTACTCACGTTGATATGTCCTGCTCATCTCGTATACACGAGTTTTCTTTCGGTACGACGACCGTAGTAGTACTCGACGACATATGTATACCCAGGACAGAATGGTAGTCATCGCAATTATCGAGGTCGGTCCGATGGGTTTTAAACACGTCATACAAATCTTCGTGTTTGTTCGTTCTATAAACCAAAATAAAATAAATATAGGTATGTTAATCACACACACAAAGACATACATACGCACACACACATATACACACATAGAGACATATATATATATATAGAGAGAGAGAGAAAGAAAAAAAAATGTATGTATATATATATATATATATATATATATATATATATATATGTAAATTGATAGAAAGTATGTGTGTATGTACACACGTGTATATTTATTTAGCTGTCAAACGAAATGCTCGATTTAATATATGTAGAAAACGAACGGATGAAAATGAGGATGTAGATAAAGAGAAGTCAAAAAGAAATAAAACGAAAAAGTAAAGAAAAGAAAAGAAAAAAAAAATTAATAATAATAATAATAATAATAATAATATTGATTGATTGACAAATTATCCGTTCAATAATTTCTATCATCGTAAATTTCTATCGTAAAAATGCATTGATAAACACGCATGCACACTATATATCTCTTTTGCATTCAATAGAATTCCTTTAAGGTTCTTTCTTTCTTTTCTTTTTTTTTTTTTCCTTTTCCTTTTTTCTTCCTTTTCCCTTGAAATATTTCCTTTCCAGATGGATTCATTAGAAATTACAATTATACAGACATTTCACGTAACGTTCTTATAATTTACCTTCATTTTATATAATATTTTTATTTCGTTAATTGATAAATTTTTATAACTATATATATATATATATATATATATATATATATATATATTCAATTCAATAATGAATGATATATAGCGTAGTATGATTTTATAAAAAAGAGAAAAGAAATAAATAAATAAAAAACCATAAAATTATATTTCTTCTTTGAATACTCAAAAGAAAGAAAGGAAAAAAAAAGAAAAAGAAAAAGAAAAAGAAAAACGAAAGGAAATTATTGTAGATATGAAATCTCAGTCATTGATATACACCTACTTACTTTACGCTAACTCGACATTTTTTTTTAACATTTTAACGAAGTCGCAAACGAAAAAGTAGAT